CTAGCCTGGATCTTCTTAAGAAGTGAAGCCAGGGGCTTCCCTGGTGGCACAGTGGTTGAGAGTCCACCTGCCGATGCAGGGAACACGGGTTCGTGCCCCTGTCTGGGAAGATCCCACATGCCGCTGAGCCACTGGGCCCGTGAGCCATGGCCGCTGAGCCTGCACGTCCGGAGCCTGTGCTCCACAAAGGGAGAGGTCACAGCAGTGAGTGGCCCGTGTACCGCAAAAAAAAAAAAGAAAAAAAAAGAAGTGAAGTCATAACTGGGTCTTAAACAGTAGATATTAGGCAAGCCAAGGTGTCTATGTGTGTGGGGTGAAGGTGAGAGACGGGGGGCAGCAGAGGACAGTTAGGAAAAGCACAGTTACCTGGCTACAGGGCCAGGTAAGGAAAAGAGGAAAACCCACTGATCCTCACAAGATGACATTGAATGTCCTGGAAGTTTCTCTTTTTATATGTGCCTATGTGACTTAGCCATCCTCTAAGTCAGCCCAAGGGGTTCATTTGTGAGCACATTAAATCAAGGTTCTGAAGTCACCCACGCTGGATGCCCTTCACTCACCCTTTTTCGTCTACAGTGCCCTTAAAATCAGGGGGTCCCAAATTTTGGTCCCAAGCTTCCTGCTCTTCTTTTTATTTTGTGCTTTATCACTTTTGCCTTTAACCATGGCTCACGCTGGGCCTCAGAGTAGTTGAGTCCTAGATCATATACTTCAGCCAGGCCTTTCTCTTTTCCTGCATCTCTAACTACCCCCAAATACCCCCACTTACGCAAGCAGACACCACCCCAACTCAGCAGGTCCCGTGCACGCTCATTGTCTTCCCCCACAATCAGTCCTCCTTCTAATCTCCGCTTTCTTCTTATCCACATTCTTATAACACTCCTCGCAGATACTGTCACGACCTCTTCCTTGACCTCATACCAAACCAGTCACAAAAGTTCATCAAATCTTTTTCATGAGGCTCTCAGCCCCTTTTGCTACAGTCTGGACAACTCCAGGAAGGAGGGAAGCCCCTTGGGTATCCCCATGATGTGGAAAGAACCAGAAGGTGGATCTTAACTGGACCAGGAAGTCACCAGGCATGCTAGAGATGGATGCAGTTCCAAGGTCTCAGACAGAACAGAACCCAGGAAGGGTGCCAAATGTTCATACTAGACTAGGAAGATTGGCCATCCATCAGACCTACGACTGGTGTGAGGGCATAGAGGGAGGTCAAGAACTCAGGAGCAGGGACGGGGTCTGTCTCATTCATCTTGGAATTCCCAGAGCCTAGCATGTTGACGGTTCATGCAAGACATCCAATTAGTGCCCTATGTTCCCAAATACAAGGTATTTGTTATATTCTTTCCTTCACCTTCCATTCAAGACTTCATATTATGCAATGCTCTCTCACTTTAATTATTTTAAACTACCCGGTAGCATTTGGGGAAGATATTAGACGAAAGCAACGTCCATTAATGTTAGCTTGGTTTGTCTGGAGAAGACACTGTTGCCAAAACTCAGCCTCTGTACTCTGGTGCTGAATAGAAAGGTGGAGACAGAATTTTGGGTAAAGTAGAAAAGAATAGCTTTATTGCTTTGCCAGGCAAAGGGGGCCACGGTGGGCTAATGCCCACCAAACTGTGTGTCCCACCCTGGAAGGGGTAGTGAGAAGTCTTACAGTGTTCTAAAAGCAGGACGTGGTCAGCTCATGGTCATTCTTCTGACTGGTCAGTGGTGAGGTAATGAGGAATCAGCATCATCGACCTCCTGGTTCCAACTGGTCTGGGGTCTACGTGCTTGTGGGCAGCATACAGTTAACTTCTCCCACCTGCTTGGGGCTTCAGTATCTGCAAAACAGCTCAAAGGACATGGCTCAGAATATTATCTATAGTCCTTGAGGAAGAACTAAAGGTCCTTGAGTTTGTTTAATGACTAAGGTATTATTATTTTGTCTTGCTTGACTGTTTTCCTTTCTTTCTGCATTTTCTCACTTCTCTGATTAAATTTATTCTTTGACTAAAGTTTTCCTACAGAAAAACAGCAGGTGGATGACATGGGGTGGGTCTATTCTGGGAAGGCCGCATAGGGCCCTGCTCAGTTACAACACTGATATAATGGATAATAAGGAGTTAAGGAATTTTAATAAGATTTAATAATATTTTGTGGGCTTTTGACTGAGCTATTCAAGTGTAAAATCTCATTATAAAAGGGCTTTTTAAAAATTACTTTAAAAACAAGTAATATAAATAAAAAATATTCATCTATCAGATAGATTTTTTTTTTGATTGTCACATATTTTGAGGCTTGGGATGAAACTTCCAGGGACTGTCACACAGATTCCAAAAATACTGCATCTCGAACAGAATAGAGGAAATAAAGGCAATATAGGCTAGAAAACTGTGTTTGTGAAATCTAATGGTGCTTATAGTATGAGAGTAGCAAAAACATTATTTCTAATTAACATAATTTTTATATAATACATCATTTTAAATATATATGTGTAAGCTAAATTAATAAATTAAGTATTAGTAGACATTTGACAGTTTCCTGTAAATCACTAAAAATGGTCAAAACACTTCTTATGGATCATCTCATTGGGAAATAGGGAATCCAATGATTGTATTATATTTGTTGAATAAAAATATGAATAAATGTATAAATATTTATTAAAGACAAAAACTTAATTAGCAGTGTTAAGAATAATTTATTCACTAATGCATTGAGCAAACATTGAGCTACCGTGTGAAAATCAATTAAGCAGGAATAAGAATGGTTTGATATTACAAGTCTACTTTCCACCAGCATGGTGACACCTAAAATAAATGAGAGAAATATTTACTTTGACTTTTTATTATGAAAATTTTCAAACATGCAGAAAAATGAAAAAATAATATAACAATCGCCCACCCATATAACCTCCATCTAGATTCAACATTTTCCCAAAATTGCTTTATGTATGTGTTTAATTTTTGATGAAGCATTTGAAAGAAAATTAGAGCTGTTATAACACTTCACCCTCCTTAATCCTGCAGCATGCATTGACAAAGATTAAAGCATCCTCCCACATAACTATAATACTACTCTCACTCTTAACAAAATTAACTCCTCAATAATATATATTTCCAGTACACATACGGATTTCCACAGTTGTTCAAAATATGTATTTTTTACCAGTTTTTTTTTTTACAAAAAAACAGAAAAAGAGGATCTAATGAAAGAATACACAGTGCACTTGGGTGTCTCTTAAGTTCCCTCCCCCACTCTTTACTCTTTTTTTTTCCAGCTTGATTGAGGTATAGTTAATAACTAATAATTGTATGTACTTGAGGTGTACATGACTTGATATATGTATACATTATGAAATTATTACCGCAATCAAGCTAATTAACACATCTATCACCTCACCTACCTACCTGTGTGTGTGTGTGTGTGTCTGCGTGTGATGAGAACACTTTAGATCTACTGTTTCAGCAAATTTCAAGTATACTATACAATATTACTCCCTATAGGTACCATGCTGTACATTAGCTCCCCGGAACTTCATCTTAGAACTGAAGGCTTGTACCCTTTGACCAACACCTCCCTGTTTTCTCCACCCACTGTCTGGTAATCACCAGTCTACTCTCTGTTTCCGTGAGTTCAGCTTTTTTAGATTTCACATATAAGTGAGATAAGGCAGTATTTGGCTTCTTGAGTCTGGCTTGTTTCACTTAGCATAACATACTCTAGGTTCATCTATGTTTTACAAATGACTGAATTTTCTTTTGTGTGTGTGGCTGAATAATATTCATGTGTGTGTGTACAAAACCCACATTTTCTTTATCCATTCATCCGTCAATACACACTTAGATCATTTCTGAATCTTAGCTGCTGTGAATAATGCTGCAGTGTACATGGAAGTGCAAATATCTCTTCAAAATACTGATTTCATTTCCTATGAATATATGCCCAGAAGTGGGATTGCTAGGTCATATGGTAATTGTTTTAATTTTTGGAGGAAACTTCATACTGTTTTCAATAATGATTGTACCAGTTTACATTCCCACTAGCAGTCCACAAGGGCTCCGTTTTCTCCATATCCTCACCAACATTTGTTATCTCTCTTTTTTTTGGTAACAGCCGGGCTAGCAGGTGTCAGGTGATATCTAATTGTGATTTTAATTTGCATTCCCTAATGATTAGTGATGTTGAGCACCTTTTCATATAACTGTTAGCCACTTGGATGTCTTCTTTGGGAAAATGTCTATTCAGGTCCTCCTCCCATTTTTAATTGGATTGTTTGTTTGTTTGTTTTTTACTTGTATGAGTTCCTTATATATTTTGGGTATTAACCTATTATCAGATATGTGGTTTGCAAATATTTTCTCTCCTTCTGTAGGTTGAATTTTCATTTCATTGATCATTTCTTTTGCTGTGCAAAAGCTTTTTGGTTTGATGTAGTCCCACTTGTTTATGTTTTGCTTTTAAAGCCCAAGCCAATTGCCATATAAAAAGTCCCACATTGTGGATTATCTGTTTCCTCATGAAGTCATTTACCTGATATTTCTTGTAAAATGGAAGTCAGATATTAGAGCTTGACTAAATTCAGGTTAAATATGTCATCAGTGTGTTAAGTATTACATCATGACAAGAGCATAGAGTGGTGAGTTGTTCTAACATCTGTGATGTAATTTGATCACCTGGCTAAGGTGTAACCCCAAGTTTGTGTTTGGGGAGTAACTAATAGGGTTATACTTTGGCATCTTGCAAAAGCCCTATTGCTTATTAATTTTTTGCTTAATGGATTTAGAATCTGTTGAGAATTTTTGCCTGAATTAATTATTTCATTAGGATTTGTGAAATAAAATGTACATTGCTGATTACCCTCTTCAATGATCAATTTCCAATTTTCTCCAAGCAGTTCTTCAAATCTTAAATGTGTTCTTTGAAATGTAAAAGGTCGAAAGTCCAAAATTTTTAATATCTTAGTTTATTGTAATGGAAGAGTAGTAATTTTCCACTTTCTTTTTTCTTTTCAGCAAAATGGAAATTCAAATTTTTATAAGCCAATTGTTGAATCCTTTGAGGAAGCACCCCTACATGTTATGGTTTTCACTTACTTGGGATATGGAATTGGAACGCTGTTTGGCTATCTCAGAGATTTTTTGAGAAACTGGGGAATAGAAAAATGCAATGCAGCCATAGAGAGAGAAGAGCAAAAAGTACGTATGAACACCTCCCTGGGTCTTTGTCGATGCCAATTCTTCTGTAAAGTGTTCTCACAAGTGGTGATGTGTGTACAGATCCTAAAAAGAGTGATACACTCAGGAACTATCCAGGGTAACTTCTATTCCCCTGCACCCCATAAACCCCCAAACATTCCTTGTGTATTCACGCACTTGTTTTTTACAAACATTTATTGAGCAACTACGATTTGCCAGACTGAACTAAAGGTTTTCTTGTACATTATCACATTTATTTTTTATAACGATCCCATGATATAGATATTAAAATAGCATTTTAAAGGTGAAAAATCAAAATATAAGAGTGAGGACACGTGAGTGGAACTGTATTCTGGTCTTCTAGTTGTCAGTTGAGTATTATTTATGTTCTATCCTGGAAGAGGAAAGTGTGTTTGAGTGAAATGTGGGACTTTTATTTCATCTAGGTCAGAGTTTCTCAACTTTGGCACTACTGACATTTCAGACTGGATAATTCTTTGATATGGGAGGCTGCCCTGTGCATTGTAGAATTTTTAACAGCATCCCTGACCTTTACCCACTAGATGCAATTAGCACTCTCCCACATACTTGTGACAATGAAAAATGCCTCCAGACATTGCCAAATTCCTCACAGAGTGCAAAATCACCCTGTGTAGAACCACTGATCTAGATACTTCCAATAATTAACCTATAAAAATCTACATCATCCCCTTTTCACATAGAGCTAATAGGACAACCTGGAAAATATTAAGAGACCTGTGAGCAGCCTGCATCCTTTTAACATGTTTTCCAAAATTGGTTCAAATGATTTATGATGCCATGAATCTCTTTTTCCTAAAACTTACTTTGGAATATACGATTGTGGCCATAGATTATTCCACATGATGGAGCCTTGAACACATCTGAGCAAAGAACATAGGTAAGGCATGAACTTCAATGTAATGAGAGAACTTCAAATCTTGTAACTTAGTGACTAGTACCCATGGTAAGCTAAACTCTTGTTACAGTAACATAACCATGAACAAATCATGTACAACACTTATTTTGCAATTTCCTTAAGTCAAGCATATCACCTTCAGAAGAAAATCAGACCCAGCTTTATTATTGTACTCTCTCCTACCTTTAGCAAGTATTTGAGTATATGCTCTCTACCAAGTAATGGAGGCTAATAGAGAAGAAAATATAGGTCCTTCCACGAGAGAATTTGAAGTCTGGTGTGCAAAACAGACTCACCAGCAAAACAAATGATAAAAAGTGATGATGGGGCGGAAGGTGACAAAGGAAACAGGGATCTGTGCCCTGTGATTCTCTTAAGGAGTCAGGGAGGCATGATATTGGGGCTTGCACGGGGAGCAGGAGTTTGCCTAGTGAACAAGGGTGAGAAGGAAGACACTCTGAAGAGGGCACTGCTTGTGTCAAAGCATTCATTAACTCACTAATCAAGTCAGATTTGTTTGGAGCATGTATCTTGTGCCAGGCACTGTATTACAGTCTTGGAATATAGGAATAACTAAGGCAGATAATGGTTCTGGCTTTCAGAGAGCTAACCATAAAAAAAAAAGCAGCTGCAATGGAATTTGATAAGAGGTACCATAGCGGTAAGTAGATGACATCAAGGAAGCAAAGAAGAGAAACATTTAACCTGAACTTGGTGTTCAGGGAAGACTTCTGGGAGGAAGAGAAAGTTAAATTGACATCTAAGGGCTGAAGAGTAAGTAGTAAGGCAAAGGGTGAGGCAAGATGAGCTGGAAGGAGTCTTCAGGGAGAGGAAATGTGGTACAAAATGGCCCAGAGGTCAGACAAAGCATTGTACATTTAAGGAACCAATGAATTCTAATGACCAGAGTGTTGCGAGTGAGAGTGGGAGCATGTGGGGAGAAAGATTGCTTGAGAGGCAAGCAGGGACCATACTATAATGGGTTTTTATAAGCCATGGGCATTTATTAGAACAATGGGAAGGCATTGAAGGATTTCAGGCAGAGGAATGCAGATTTGCAGATTAGAAAGATCATGTTCACTGCCCTATAAAAAATGGATTTACAGGACAATATAGGGGCCAAAGAAAACAGTTAAGAGGCTGAGGCAGAAGTCCAGTTTGAAAAAAAATCTACATGAGCCCTTGGGCTGGGACCAGGGTAGTGATAATAGGGATGGTGATAATAGACAAGGCCAAGAGAGGTTTAAGAGATGGAGTTAGGATTACTAAGCTATAAGAAAGAAGGAAACCATGCCATTTGCAGCAGCGTGGATGGACCTAGAGACTGTCACACTAAGTGAAGTAAGTCAGACAGAGAAAAACAAATATCATACAATATCAGTTATATGTGGCATCTAAACAAATGATACAAATGAACTTATTTACAAAATAGAAATAGACTCACAGACGTAGAAACAAACTTATGGTTATCAAAGGGGAGAGAGCTGGTGAGGGATAAATTAGGAGGTTGGGATTAACAGATACACACTACTATATACAAAATAGATAAATAATAAGGACCTACTATAGCACAGGGAACTATATTCAATATCTTGTAATAACCTATAATCTGAGAAGAATATATATATATATATAATGTATAACTGAATCACTTTGCTGTAAGCCTGAAACTAGTACAACTTTATTTTTTTTAATGGTGTGTTAGTTTCTGCTTTATAACAAAGTGAATCAGCTATATGTATACATCTATCCCCATATCCCCTCCCTTTGGTGTCTCCCTCCCACCCTCCCTATCCCACCCCTCTAGGTGGTCACAAAGCACCGAGTTGATCTCCCTGTGCTATGCGGCTGCTTCCCACTAGCTAGCTATTTTACGTTTGGTAGCGTATATATGTCCATGCCACTCTCTCACTTTGTCACAGCTTACCCTTCCCCGTCCCCTTTTTCTCCTTGTCCCTGTTAGGAAGTTATATATAATATATCCCTCACTGGTTTTTTAATGGTTCTCTTAGAATATTTAACACATATATTTAGAATTTAGTTACCATTATTTAGTAACTAGAGTCTTCTGCTGACCAGGAGAAGAATTTAATAAAGTTGCACTTTCTTTCTCCCACATACCCATTCTCCATGTTGTCATTTATTTGTGAATTTTTAGTTTCTGTTTCTTTATACTACAAATATAACACTACTTGGGCTAAACCATATTCCATCAGTTTCTTCACTCACTATTTTTTCTGGCATCTGTCTTCCTCCATAGTTATTTCATTGTATTATTGAGGTATATGCTCAATTATTATAGAAAAGGGAATTAAATTCAAGACTCCTTACATATATTGGAAAGTTTTTACTTGGATTTTCACATTTGTTTGCTGGCTTGGCTGATTATAGGATTTTAAGTTCAAAATAATTTCCCCTCATACTCTTTTCCACCATTGTCACCTAAGAAGAGTCCGAGGCAGTCTAATTCATATTCCCTTGTCTATAAACTGCCTTTCCCCCTTCTCTGAAGCCTTTTGAGATTCTTCCCTTTGACTCCTGAAATTTGACCAGGATGTAGCTTGGCGTGGGTTTTTCCTTATTTGCTCTATTCAGGACCTGATAGACTACTTACATCTTAGGATTCAAAACTTCCTTCCTCTCTGGAACTTGCCCCTCCTCCTCCTCCTTTTTTTTTAACTTCCTTTTCCTCCTCTTTCACCTCATCTCCTGCTTCTCTTCCTTCCTTCAATCTTGCAAATCCTTCTAGGGAGATATTGGACCTTCTGAATCTGCCCTTCATATCTCTTGACTTTTCCTTCATATTTTCTTTTCTCTGTCCTGGAATGATTAGTCAACTGACTATGCTAGTTTATTAATTTACTTCTCAGCTGTGTTCATTGTACTTTTGAATGTTTAATTTTTTAAAAGAATCCATTGTTTCATTGTGTCTTTCTAAACACGTTACTTACATATTTTTAAATTCTTTTTCTGTTTGCTCTATGAAGTCTTTTCACTAAATGTCAGTTCTGCTTATTGAATTTGGTGCCTCTTATTGTGCTAGTTTTCCTGTAATAGTGATGACGTTTTGTTTTACGCTCATTTTTAAATTTAGGAATCCTTATTTGCTTACACATTCACCTGTCTTGAGTGATTGTAGAAAGAAAATGGAATGTGTTGCCTGGACCAGGGGCTTGTGTTCTTGCCGTGTGGTCTCCCCACCTCTCTACAGTGGGGCCTTGTTTTTCCAGTCAGTTCTTGCTGCCCATCACAGTGCTTTGTGCTGTGGACAATGCAACTGCTTCTTACTTATTAACCCAATAAAAGAAGAACAAAGAGATATTGCTTCATTAATCACCCAGGGTTATCAACTTCTTGTAGTTATTGACTCTTGGCTTTAAGGATCCCTACAGTTAGTGTATGTCCATACCAGTCTTCTCTGCAAATGTTGTAGGGCTATGGTTTCCTGTGGTCTTATTTCTGCATTGAGCAGATCTTATTTATGTTCTATCTTATGTGATCCTTCAATATTTCTGATTCATTGATGATTTATAAATTTATAAATTTATTTTGGTTTTTAAGTATCTACTTTTTGTCATTTCACAGAGCTCTTAGATGATTGGTAGAATACATACAAGCACTGAATCTGCCATCTTTATTCAACCGTCCTCTAATTTCTTAATAAGAAAAATTAAATTTAGCCATCCTTACTTTGTGTTTCTCATACTTCAAAGAACTGTCTATAATACAGTTACCCTTCCCAACAAAAAGCAAAACACAAACATATTTTATTATTATTCTCAGCTCAACCCTGGTAGGAGAAACAGCTGTTTCTCAAGAGGAAATAATGATAAAAAAGAAATATTAGGTGAGAACAGAAGCGTCAATGTGGGCACAAATGAAAAACTACGTTTGATAATGATTCTTTCTCTCTCTACAAATCCATGATTCTATTTGCTACTGAATGGGCGAGTAGTTAAACCAAAAAAAGAAGGGACATGCTTCCAAATTTGGTAGTATTTTTTACAATGTGCCATGGATATGTTCTCTTCAATCCCTTTTAAATACCTATCCCTGCAGCATGATTTATTCAAAAGAGCATTGGTTATAGAACTGGGTACAAATCCCAATCTGTCCACTCAGATTTTCTGACTTTCTGTTGAATTGTCTATAAAAGTAGGATTGATATACCTATAACACTTGGAAAATGATAAGGTACCCTACAAGCTTAACAGTGAAAAAAGAAAGAGTG